GGGGGGGGGGGGGGGGGCGAAAAGTATGCGCACGGGAGGCCTCGTCCGCGGCTTGCCGGAGTTCACGGTAATTGCACGCTTACAAGTGAATTCGGTTATGAATGATCTCGCTCGCGGATTATGCGGTTTGGTGCGCAATATTGCGTTCGTCTCGGGAAAAAATGATTCGATGAATTATCTCTCGTTGTCCCTTGAGATAACGGAAGATAATTCGAAGCTTTGTTTTCCGCATCGAACATTTCTGAAGTTGAAAAAAAATAAACAAGGCACGCCGGGAAGCTGTTGCTCATAAAGAGTGCATCGCGAACGGCTAAAGTTGCAGACGAGAGATCTCGAATATATTTGCGCTGAAGCTTGCTTGAAGCGAGCTGTAATTCGCGACGCAATTTTTACTTGCAGAATTTTATTTGTGAGAGAATATAGAAGATTAGAACTACATTTTTTTACAGAAAAAATGGCACATTTATGTGCGCACTATTATCAGACCGGTATTTATAATTGAATTTTATATCTAAGCTTGCATCAAGTTCATCTTCAAATGCTGCACGGGTCGTTTCATTGGCTACGGAATATCTGAAGATGAACTGAGGAAGATGCATCTTAAAAATATAGATTGTAAATACCGGGTGCTTTCCAGTTGCAATATCTCTAGACACTTTCATGCACACGGCGACACAAGTTGCATTCCAATTGTCGTAATCGTCGACACATTACACATTCGTACTCAGCTCGAGGGCTACTAGTCGGCTGTGTAACTAGTGTTTTCTAGTGACAATTAAAATTAATAAGCTGCTATATTGCGGCTTGAAAAGAGATTGGCATTTGCGACGTGAAGTGGATAGTATCTTTTTTATTATTTAGATCTTATTATTTATTATTAAAAAATACCAAGATATGGGCATGTTGAAAAATAATCCTAACCCTATCCGACACACATTAGTATACACTTTGTTCTAATTGAGTCGTGCACAACATTACACTTTGTGTATTTCTGTGTACGTGTGTGTCAAAAAGTGTTAAGCAATTGGAAAGCACCCACCGTCTTCAGTCTCGCGGGCTTTACCATCGATAAATTGACAGTTGCTAAAAGCTTTTGGCCGAAAAGTCGTATCCGCATCTCAACTGTGCATTCCTCATAGCTGTCGATTAATCCAAAAAGCGGGAACATATCTTTCTAGATTAATTAACAGTCATGAGAAATTGATAGCTAGATACGAATGTGATTGATTGAAAGTGTTCAGTAACTTTCTTCAGTTTTAATAATTGGCTCCAGGCTTCTCTGTTTAGTAACTCTCGATCTGTCGAATAGCATGTCGATCTATCGAGTGGCATCCACGGATTTGATTAGAGACCGAGTGCGTCGCTGCAGAAGCGCAGCAATGTTCACGTCGCGGCGCGAATTTTCGGCGTACACGATCAATTGCGCGGCCATTTTCGATCTTCTCGCGTCCAGCAGCCGCCATTAACACCTTGATCGATGTCGCTACGCGTCTTTTGTTTATCGAAAGTGAGTCTTGTGCGGCAACAGGTGTATCGGGTGTGTTGAAAACAACGAAATACGATCGTCGAGACGTGTTGTAAGTACGTTATTAGGAAGTTATCTTGTTTGTTTGTGCATACAAGCGGTACTTGTCGTGACTTGTCGAATTGGCGTTGCTTGCGCTTGTTATTACCGCCGATTCACTTAAGAAGTAATAAAATCGTACAATTGTCGAAATCGGGAATTACGCTGAGAGAGAGAAACTATGTGTGTAAGAAATAAAAAATATTTATTCGGTGGATATTATAACATGTTTGTCAGTATAAAATATTTCTCAATTAAGAAAATATACCATTTTCTTGGCACTTTTTACGAGAACGATTGTTTATTCTATTTAAATAGAAGAATTTATATTTATTTATCTAGAATAGAAGGAGTTTGTATTATTAGCATCCACCAAGTAAATATTCACTATTTTTTAAATTTATTTTAGGTAATTTTATTTTAGTATAACACTATTTTCTTAGATATTCTTTTTCTCTCAGTGTACGCTATTCCACAAAAAATATTTTGACCTCCGCCGATATCTTTATCCATATTCTACGTAACATGTCCTCGAATAAGTGAGATAGACAAAACTTTCGTGGTTTGTGGTTGGGTATGATCGGTCATCACGTCGACGCGCTATCTTTATTTGAAGATAACTGCAAGAATAACCAGTAATAGACGTCTATTGCCGGCGACTCGCAAAGTTTATTTCATTTCATTTCAGTTCAATGTTTACACGTTTTTTATTTTGATTTTCGTACGACGTCTTTCGGGTTTGCCGCACTTCTCGGGCAAATCAGCCGACACAATCGTGATTAAACGAGATAAGATCGGCCAATTATTAAATCTGTATCGGAGGAGACATATTGGCGATTATAATTCGAATCACGAATCACAACTGTGCTTATCAGTGGTTAAAGAGTGACGGTTAACAGCAATATGTACGCGCGGTCGGAGGAAAGATTTGCGCGG